AAAGAAATAAAGAAACAAAGAAATAAAGATATAAAGAAATAAAGAAATAAAGAAATAAAGAAATAAAGAAACAAAGAAACAAAGAAACAAAGAAACAAAGAAACAAAGAAACAAAGAAACAAAGAAATAAAGAAACAAAGAAACAAAGAAACAAAGAAACAAAGAAACAAAGAAACAAAGAAACAAAGAAACAAAGAAACAAAGAAACAAAGAAACAAAGAAACAAAGAAACAAAGAAACAAAGAAACAAAGAAACAAAGAAACAAAGAAACAAAGCAACAAAGCAACAAAGCAACAAAGCAACAAAGAAACAAAGAAACAAAGAAACAAAGAAACAAAGAAACAAAGAAACAAAGAAACAAAGAAACAAAGAAACAAAGAAACAAAGAAACAAAGAAACAAAGAAACAAAGAAACAAAGAAACAAAGAAACAAAGAAACAAAGAAACAAAGAAGCAAAGAAGCAAAGAAGCAAAGAAGCAAAGAAACAAAGAAGCAAAGAAACAAAGAAACAAAGAAACAAAGAAACAAAGAAACAAAGAAACAAAGAAACAAAGAAACAAAGAAACAAAGAAACAAAGAAACAAAGAAACAAAGAAACAAAGAAACAAAGAAATAAAGAAATATAGAAATATAGAAATATAGAAATAAAGAAATAAAGAAATAAAGAAATAAAGAAATAGAGAAATAGAGAAATTAAGAAATACAGAAATACAGAAATAAAGAAATACAGAAATAAAGAAAGAAAGAAAGAAATAAAGAAATAAAGATATACAGAAATAAAGAAATAAAGAAATAGAGAAACAAAGAAATAAAGAAATCAAGAAATAGCGATATAAAAAAGTCAAGAAAAAATCAAAGAAATACAGAAAAAACGAAATAAAGAAATAAAGAAATACAGAAATAAAGACATAGTCAAGCAAAAAAGAGAAAGTAGTAAAAAAATTGACAAGAAAGAAGAACGCAAAAAAATCAAGAAAGAAAGAAAGAAAGGAATAAAGAGCAACATAAAGAAGGAACATGTACACAAAAAGGGAAGAAAGAAAAGGAATAACTAAACGGAATGAACAAAGAAGACATACATGACGGGCAGAAAGAAAGACAGAGATACAGCGAGAGCGGGAGAGCTAAAGAGAAAGAGCTAATTCACGCATAGGGTAGTTCCTCAACGCGATCCACCTTTCTCCTTCCTTGCTTAGTCAGTATCGCCGCTTGCCTGGGGTGTGCCGTTCTATGTTTGTTCACGTCGAAGAGTATCAGCTCTTGTTGAGAGTCAAGATCCGTCAATTGCATAGCTTTGTTTGATGTTACACACAGCAACAAGAAAGCGCAACAGCAACAGCAAGGGATGTGTTTCTTCTTGTCAGGCCAACGGCAAGATTTAGTTATTTTCAAGCCTAGCTCCTTGTTTCTGAGCCCTCATCCTTTGATGTTCCTTTGCAAAGACATGTCCCGATTCCTTCATGCCACAGTTTCCTGTTGTTTCAGAGCTGCCCCGGCTTTGCCATGGAGATAGCTCCGGCGCGGAGAGCAGCCAGGTGCCGATGCTTAGACCACTTCAAGTGCATGGTTGTACGTCATCTTCATCTCGTGTGGCATTTGCTTGGGACAACGATGCAAGTACTCTGCGTCACCCGGCCAAAGCCTGAACCTTCAAGAGAGGGGCTTCAGCTAAGCTATCGGGGTGGGCTGGTCGAGGAAGTGAGTGTAGCAGTAGCATAGCTTTCGGCTTTGGACAACCATGTGGTGTTTGACAAATGTTAAACAACGTTGAGCAAATGTTAAAAAGTCAAGTTTCATGCGCTTTTCCACGGAACGAGCAGTAGCCCCTCCTATTCCGGCATGTGGAGGCTTTTGGGACAGCTGCGGCCGGCAGTTTCGCCTTCACGGGCCGGGCACACAGGCTAAGGATAGAAAAGGGCCGGAGTGCCAGGATATAGTGCTTGTTGAAGAGCACTTTGGAGGAAGAAGTTTTGAAAGGGGCTAGCTTAGTGCAGGTTGCATGACTTATGAACAAGGATCCCAAACTCTCCTACTTCAGGGGCCAATGGCGATGTGGCTTGAGGGCGGGCTTGAGCGGTTTATCGTGCTCTACACTACACGTGCGTCTCAAAAAGCTCAACGCAGCGCACCCCACTTTGAAACTAAGTAGTTTGGACAAAGCACCTTGTCCCATCTTTGCTGCTGCAAATAAAGACCAGTCTCACTCCTGAAACCTGTTTCTCTTGCCAGCCCACTTACGTGCGCCCCCGGGCCCACATCTCTGGAGTTTCTAAGCTTGAGATCTCGCACATGCCGAAGAAACGTAACATGCAGGCTTGAGGCAGGAAAGGATGTTGCCCTGAGCCCTGCAGGTCTCACCGGCTGCAGTGTGCACCAACTCAAGGCGGACACCGAGCTTGTGTTGGGGAGGGATGCGCCAGTTGCGAGTTTGCAAGCTTCATGGCTGGATCCGAGAGACCGTAGCTCCCATTTTGAAGTGGTCCCCATGCATTTATTTAGAGTCTTTACGTCCCATGACAAGGCATCACCCGGCATCGAATTGAAGGTGATCAGTACCAGACGGGAGCCTTTGCAGCCGTAGCAGAGCCCTGTCGCCGCATTGAAGCCCAAAACATGTAAGCCTAGGGCCGAGGGTTCATGAACCCCGAGCTTCAGAAGGGCTGTGCAGGGACTCTTCCTCAAGGTACGCGTCCCCAGCTGAAGTAGATGAGACGAGCAAAAAGTTGCTTTGACTGGCGGGATCTGGGTAGACCTTAGGTTTTGCTCAGGGTTCGGAGAATTTGTCGTTGGGGTTGCCCATTGAATGTCAAGTTTTGTTAGGGTATGCCCATATACTCCAGCAACCAGCAACCCCAGTAGAGTCGACACTCCTTGCATTCGGCGTCGTGCAGGTGCTATGCAGCCCGGCAGCCAAACGGTCTCCAGCTTCCTTTCTCCAAGGTTCCGGGGGGCAGAAAAGCGCTTTCGAATGCTTTCAAGGCTCTCTGAAGACTCCCTCTCTCAGCTCTCTCTTTCTCTTTCGCTGTCTCGCTTTTGTCCCCTTTTTTTGCCGATGTAGTTACAGATGCCACGCAGCAATGGAGTTTCATTCCCAAGTCTGGAAAGAGCGCAATCGGTGTGGAAGTCAGATGCTTCAGTTTACGTTTCCGTTTTTTTTCTGGGAACCGATGGAGCCGAGTAACCTGCGCAGGTGCTGATTGCAAACCGTGGTGAGATTGCCGTGCGAGTCGCCCGGGTCCGGAGCTTGTATGGATGCACATTATGGACATTACCATCATCAAGTTAGGACTCATCTTTCCCTGAACAACTTCAAGCAAGGTCTTGTCTTCGGCCCTTTTAATATGCTACTCAGTGGGAGTACTCAGTGCTTCTCCCGCTACGAAAACAGTTTTTGAACGAGCGTGGAGGTATTGAAAGCCTCGTAATCCTCCTGAGACCACCACGTTTTTGAGCCGGAACAAAGGCGATTTCCGGGTGAGGGCACGAAGACCTCTGGCAAATTCAGCGTCCTTCAACCCCCAAGACTTGAGGCGTGCCAGGAAGAAGGCTTGGCCACTGCCGGGAGCCTCGGGCCTGCGAGCAGCAGCTTTGGGGTTCCCATCGATTTCAAAGGGGTTTTTGACCACTGGAGCCTTAGATCCTTCGACCTCTCTCCGCTGCGATTCTGGCACCATGCAGACTCCAGGTGGGCATCTACGCCGAGGAGGACAAGGGTTCCTTGCACGTACAGCGCGTGCAAGAAGCGATTCGTGCCCCTGACCCAGCGAGCTCCGGTTGTGGGGCAAGTTGCGTGGTGAAGTGCGTGGTGAAGTGCGTGGTGAAGTGCGTGGTGAAGTGCGTGGTGAAGTGCGTGGTGAAGTGCGTGGTGAAGTGCGTGGTGAAGTGCGTGGTGAAGTGCGTGGTGAGTGCAAGTGCCAGAGCTTCGCTCTCGTCCTGGTAGGAGTCGCAAGGTGCTCAAATCATGTGCTCGCAAGTGTGTCAGGCTTTCAGAGGTGTCTCCCAGGATGTTTTCTCAGGTGGCACAAACTTACAAGAGCCTTGGCATCTCCGAACTCGCTGCTTGTTTCCCACATCGAAGCACAACCATGGACCTTTTTCTGGCGTGCTGGATGAAAGTGACATTTTACCATGTTGAAACCTTTCTGATAAAATGAAGTACTCATATCAGTTCTCGTGTGGTGCGAGGATCGTTTCTATCCAGGAAGTGGTGGGCATGTTCGGAGACTAGAGGGCAACTCCTTGTTGTCATTTTCGCCCAGCTGCACCTTAACTACTGTGAGCATGTTCCGCGACCAAGCGCAAACGTTGAGGATGCCAAAGCAAATCAGAGACAGCTGGATTAGTTCAACGAGAACGGACTGCAGCAATGTCGCCTGTGCGACGTGCGAGACTGCTACGCAATTGAGTCTTTATGACTCTGTCCTCAACTTGGGCCTAAAATGTAAGCTTCATGATGCAAAAAGATGCATATGATTTCATCCGACGCTGATTTGCGGCTTGTGGAGATTTGCGGCGTTTGCATTTTGCCGTTGAGGCGGGTGAACATCTGGTCCCGAAGTCATCACAATGAGCATAAGCTGGCATCCCTTGCACGCTCAGGTCACCTCCAAGAACCCGGGCCCAATTGCGCCGTACCTGGACGTGCAGAGTGTGGTGGAAGCCGCCAAGCCTCGACCTCAGCCACAGGGCCATCAGGCCTCCACAATCCTCACGGTTCTCACAACATCTCAAAACCTGAACCGAAGGCGCCTAGAGTCCTAGAGCTGTCCAGACCCAGATCCGTGCAGCCGTGCGTAGCCTGCTCGCCCATGACATCTCCATAACATGTCCATGGTTTGTCTCAGGCAGACAAAAGCGCAGGCGGTGCATCCGGGCTACGGCTTCCTCAGCGAGAGCGCAGAGTTTGCTGCTGCCTGCGAGGCCGGAGATGATCACGCCCCAAAATGCAGGTTAAGGAGGGCTATGGCGGGCAGCTGTCGCGGAATGTTGCTTCAATGTATGCAGAGGTCAAGGAAGGGGCTCAGGCGGGCAACTGTACTACGGAGGCTGAGTCGGGCAATTGCCGGAATGTTGCCGTAACAAGCAGGCCAAGGATGTTGCTTAAATATGCAGGGCAGAGATGCTCAGGTAGTGTCGCCTTTCTTAGCAGGCCAGGGGACTCGGGTTTCGAAATGTTGTCTTACTAAGCTGGAAGTAGGTTCAGGCGGGGGTAGCTGTACCGGAATGTTGCCTTTATGAGCAGGCCGGCCAGCTTCTCGTACTGTGGGTAGGCAGCGCTTGGGTGCATGCCAGCACGGCATGCCTGGTACAGTCAAAATGCAATTCCATGTGGTTCCCCGCCCGACGCGCGAGGTTGTTAGATTTTTTGGGAGTGACAAGGTGGCCTGCAGATGGTCGCATCATGTGATGCGATGCACCCAGGCTAGGAAGGCTCGGGCGAATACAACCGGAATGTGGCTTCCATGCCCAGGTTTGGTAGATTTAGGCTTGTATACCATCTGTTCCTGGCCGGGACCCAGGTCTGTTTTCGGCGTTTGTGCTTGTCTTGCGTACGCTGCGTGTGTGGGGCCTGCCCCCAACCCGTTTGAAGTAAAAAACATCTATTCCTTGTTTAATTTACTTCGAAATCCTTTGAATTTTTAAATTGTCTCAGGAAAGCCTTTCATTTGCTTCTTTTTTCTAGTAGGAAACCTCTATTTCCTTCCTAGTTTATATGAAACCTTAAGTGCCCAGCCAGAGCGTCCGACATGCTACACCGCGACAAGCGGCTTTTTGACTTGGTGGCAGCCGTTGCTGTTAGAGCCCTCTCTCTTCTCCCGAAGGCTGCTGGGATCATTTTCATTGGCCCCCGCCCGGAGACAATTGCGCTTCTTGGAGACAAGGCCGTGAGAAGCAATCCAGAGTGGACGTGCCTATGCCTCCCATTCATGTAGCAACCATCACTTCGTCCATTTGTCGCATACTTGCATGGCAGGCCCCCTGCCATCCCCTGCCAGAAACCTCTGCACCTACAGGTCCGCGCCCGGGAGCTGGCAATGTCCAGCAATGTTCCGGCCTGCGGTCCTGGATCAGGTTTGTAGGTTTGAAGTTTCCAGGCGCTAGGAGGAGGTGGAGCTTCAGGAAGGGTCTCCCGATGCTAGCCGCTAGCTTAGCCTTACAAGGAGGACGATCTGACTGTAAATTGTGAAGCCGTGCATGCAACGTTTACGGACGTTTATGTCTTCAAAGGTGGACGGTTTAAGCTCTCTTTTGGTGTCAAGACTGAAGCATGCCAAGGTTTTGAAAGGTTCGCCTTTCCTCGACTCCTACCAAGATGCACGAGATTTCTTGGCACGCCGCCAGCCCAGAGGGCTAAAGATGGCCAAGCCTATGCCAAGTGCCAAGGGCACATTGCTAATTCCGCTTCCTGAAGTTTTCATCGCAACTCGATGGATTCAGGGATGTCGGAGCTTGGGCAAGTTAGTTATTTGCTCGGATCATCTCACGTGTGTTTATGAAGACCAAATTGCCAAGCATTCTTTCCTTCAGTTCCGTTTTGCACGACCTCGATGACTTGCCTTGCACATGACAAATGATTAAGGTTCTTGCCGCAGGCCATGGAGCAAGAACAGCCCAAAGCCTAGACGTACAGTTCGAAACCCAAACGACAAGGCCAACCCGCAACCTGGCAAGGCTCCTGTCACCCTATGCCTATGTACAGCATTCATCACAAGAAGGCCCCCCCCGCCCCCTCGCCCCGGCCTCCCCTCCCCGCCCCCACATCCTATCTCGAACCTTTCCCGAAACCCGCGAACAAAGGCGAGGGCCTTCCCTTGCCGATCATCTTCAAGGCAGCCTTCGGCGGTGGCGGCCGCGGCATGCGCCCCTCGGCGTGGGTTAGGCCTTCTTCCTGGATTGGTGTGTAAGTATGTGCAAGTAGCATTGTCTAGAGGAGATAGGATGTTGTGTGGCTTGGCACCCTCGTAGGTAGGTCCCCCATGTTCAATCATGCCCCCCCCGCCGACGGAACTTAATGACAAACCGGATACCTACAAAATCACTCCCTCCGCCGCCTCTTGAGAGACCCTACATCCTCGGTATTCCTCGTTCGCCTACATTCCTTCCAAAGGTTCTGATGCTAGTTCTCATGCTTTAGTTTGTCAGTTGCACGGGATGCAATTGGCTGACTCAGGGCTCGTCCGTCAAGACGGTGAGCTCAACGAGGCCTTTGAGTGCGAAGCCGAGCACAGCCTGCTTGTTTTTCAACGTCTTGTCTGCGTGATTCGGGCTCAGGGTGGTTCAGGGTGGTTTCAGCTTCGGAGTATGCATTGCCCCACGAGCCGCAGCAAGAAGTAGTGGTGGAAGGGGGTTTCTCAGGTCTATGTGGCAGTATGGACTCATGTAGACCTGACAGCACGGTGGCCTAATCCAGCGTACGTTCATGTGCTCAAAACTCTGATGGCCTTCCGGGGAAACTGGCTTTTTTCTTTTCGAGCTGCGACAGACGTTTACTGTTTAATCTGTTTATGTTCTGAGATTTGCCCTTGTCGCATCATCGACGTCGGATGAAACTGTCAGCTTGTTGTCGTGGATTCCCGTCATTGATCATCTTATCTTTCCCGACTAGGGCACAAGTTTTCAGCAGCCAGCGAAGCTCAACGTAGCCATGCACCGCAGCAAAAAGCTCAAGACTGAAGGCCCTCGCCACTTTCCTCAACTCCCCAAACCAAGGCGCTGCACCAGTGAGGCGAAGACGGCCTTTGGCAATGGTTCCGCAGCTTGGCGTCGGACCTGTTGGGGAGTGCCCTTGGAGGTTTTGGTCAGACATGTATAGTAATCTTGAAATTGTTTTTGCAGTCGGGTGTGAGGAGCGTGCCTATCCATGCATGGTGCAGGGACACAACCAATTCGTGGCACCTGGGAGAGACGTGTTTGTATTCCGTCGCATGCTGCCAAAGGTCTTTCTCGAAGAGTTTCTCGATGATGCCCGCCACATCGAGGTGTTGATGATCACATTTTGGGTTGCGAAGTTCAGGGTGTAGATGTGAGTCTCTCTGCCCAGCAGATATGGACGTGATTGTGAAGATATGCACCTATGCTGGAGACTAATGTGTCAGGCAGGCTTGCCGTGGAATGGCGGTGTTTGTGTTCTCAAGGGTGGAATAGACTGGGAATAGACTGGGCTTGGCATCACAGTGTCGTTCCGAATCGCGCCAATTGCTTTGCCGGGGTTTTGGGGGAAGGGTTCCCCCCCCCCCGCTCCGCCTTGGGTTCTAGCTTCGTTTTTTCGGGTTTAGGTTTTAGGACCCCCTTCTCTCCCCCCCTTCCGAGGTGAAAGTACTTTTGCTTCAGATCACGCTCGGAAATACTGCAGCAAATCTATGCGGATCGAATTGCCAAGCCGGGCGAGCCTGCAGACCTTCATAGTCATCTCGCAGATGACTCAAAAACGATGCCTGACGAGCTTTTGGGGGACTCTCATTGCCGACTCATTGCATCACATAACCGCACAGAAACACATTGCGTCAAAGCGCCAACAAAACCAACTCCAAACCGGCACTCCGACACTCCAGTCAATGTGCAGGTCCAGGTCTTGGCGGACGGTCAGGGTGGCTGCGCACACCTCTACGAGCGGGACTGCAGCGTGCAGCTGCGCAACCAGAAGGCGCAAGTCTTGTCATTGAATCCGTGTCTGAACTTGATGTTTCTCTGAAGATGCTCTATAAAATTATGAAGGGCATGCTCACTCCAGGGCCTTGGTGTAGGCAATGGGATGGGGTTACAGTATGTCATGTTGCAGCGTTTCTTGCACAGGTTGTCGAGGTGGCCCCAGCTCGCATTCACCCTGGGTGTGGCACTTGGCAGATCTGGGCACCCATCCCTGGTACCATGAGTGGTGCCATCATTGATACCTGCAATCCCGGCAAGATCTTGCAAGGTGGTTGGGGGTGTGTGATGTGTGTGCCTTTCCCCCATCCGGGCTGTCGTCCTCTCCTCCAAAGGTTGCGAGCTCGCATCACGGACTGCGCCGTGCGCCTCCTCTTGAACTGCAACTATCGAGGCGCCACACCCCCAGTCTCCGTCTTGCAATGCCAGAGAGTGAGATGACCCCAGCAAAAAAAGAGGGAGCCAGAAATATGTCTCTAACGTGCGCCGAGGTTGGCACCGTTGAGTTCATGGTTGCTGGTGGACTCGACGATCCCGACGCCCGTTTCGTGTTCATGGAGGCCTGTGGGTGCAGGCTGAAACCATAGGCTAAGAGTCGAGCCATGGATAGCGATGGCTGCTCAGTTCTCAGTCCTGTCCCACATGTTGCGTGTCCACGAAAGCGGGCTTCAGTTCATCCTGGGAAGTCCCGTTTTGTGTTGAGCCGACTGGCGCGCACGGTCAGTTGTGGCCGGAAAGCTAGCCAGCAACCGTGGCTGGAAACCCCGACGGAGCCGCGATTAAGCAGTTCAGCCTGCAAGCAAAAAGCTCTCTGAGCCGTTTCTTCTAGCTCCAGTCACGTAGCCTGTTTCGGCAAAAGGCCTGTGCACAACCGGGCGGACTGCCCATGACGAACTTTCCGGGCGCAAGCAAGCCTTCAAATGTAGGCGAGCGAAGTGACCTTCACAATGCAGGGGCTCAAGAAGAGTCGTTTTACGGACTGCGCGGCAGGTCAACCCCAGGATCCAGGTCGAGCACACGATTACGGAAGAGGTCCTTGGGCTTTCGCTTCATGTCTATCGTTTCGGAACAGACCGTTTTTATATTTTTTGGTGATAGTTTCAGAGTTCAGTTGACCACAGAACTTGGGAAGTGCATTTGAGAGTGCAATGAGTGCACAAGACGCACAAGCGTTTATGTTTTCTCCGTGCTTTTTGGTAGTATTCTCATGCATGATCTCAGCAGCCTGATCAGGCCACCGATGTGGATATCGTGAAGACACAGCTCGGCATTGCAAGTGCGCTCGGCTCGCCGAGATTTCGGGGTGCAGTGTATTCAGTGTGTTCTGTTGCAAGGAAGTTGAGACTTGAGATTGCAACCTCAAGATCGGCGCCCAAGGAGTTCATAAGACATCTCAGGTCTGAAAACGGCGTAAAGCTTGTGTGCCAGTTCTGCAGGGATTAACAGCGACGACAGCGCATGTTGCAACCAACTACATGACTGCCCAACTGCAGAGTCTTTGCTAGCTTTTGCAATCTGTCCAGTCATTTCTCATCCGTTTCTCAGCAAATTTGACTCCCTATTCCATGTCTTCTCAGATTCCGCAGCCTCATCAATCAGTTGACCATGACCGTACACATCTGCAGCTTGCAGCTAGGCAGTCTGGCTGTCCGCGCGAAATCAACACCCAAACCCCGAAAGCTCGTAGCCACCACAGACTTCAGAGGTGGCAAGAAGCTCGAAGACCTGGGCCTTCCAGGAGGTATCCTGCAGCAGATGTTCAGTTTTGCATTGGGCTTGCCGGGTTTGGATCGCAGGGCCTGACCCAGAACATCTGCAAAAGATGAAATCACAGCGGTGAGCGGGGAACCAAAGTGGACGAACGAAAGTGGGGCCTTCGTGTGGTGTAGGATGATGTCCTTCGTTATAGACCCGCCGAAACGTTCCGAAACGCGTAAGGGCCTAAGCAGGGAAAGGCCTGAGTTTCTATATGCTTCAGCCATCCAAAAGCGGCCCAAGCCTCCAGGGCTCCTGGAATCCTCGTCTCGCGACCTGGGGATCGGGGGTGCACTTGTTCTACTGCTTTGTTGCCCCCCTATCATCCGACGCACTCGCCAATGGAGTCTTGCATAATCGTTGGCAGCAGCGTGGTTTCCATGAATTCGTCTTTCCTGGCCAAACTCGGAATGCCTTGTAATTGCACTTCCGCCGTTCAGGTCCCGGGCACGCAGCTTCGACGCTGCGTGGCTTCGCAATCCAGGCCTGAGTCGTTCGCCGGAGTTCGCTCTCACGCCTGGATCGGTTGGGTGGGATGTGAACAGGACACCTGCGATTGCAGCTGTAGGCAGTTGGCAATACTGCACAGGACGCTCCTGGGCGTATCCTGTCTCTAAGCAAAAGCTGTTGTCGTAACTCTGTCGCCGGGCGTGGTGACATGTGGTGACAAATCGATCCTTTCCTGGGAGTTTCAGTCCAATGACGAAGGGATAGGAAGGGTTATCGAGACAAGACGGGACCAGGCTGGGAAGGGAGGTTTCAGGATGTTTCATGTCGGATGGAATGCAAGTAGCATCAAGTTTTTAGCAGCCAAAGTCCGAAATCCGAAATCTTGCGTGGTTTTACTCCCAGACTCAGCAACGATCAAATGATCTCCGCGCCCCAGCTTCTTGATGCAAGCAGTGTGCGAGCGACTTCGTCGGGTCTGTAACAACTGGAGGAGGACCAATTGGGAGAGGCGACGCCAGCCTCCACGCTCCCAGGTCAACCCAACACAGCAACATCCACACCTGCAGTCGAGTAGCGCAAGGTCATGTGCCGGACCTACGTCCAGGCGGAGCCATGGACACACGACTTTGTACCTGCAAGAGTCGATGTGGTGGCACTTGTGGCAGATAGGGGCATGCTGCAGTGTGAGTTGGGCACGCCACTGCAGAGAAGTTAGGACTTTCCGCAAGCGATTATGCCACACACCGCCGCACCGCGGTACAAACCTGACGCGGAGGAGGACACCAGAGGAACTCACGGTGCCAGAGGCGAAGTGTCATCTACGCGAACGCGTTCATCCAATGGTTCAGCAGCACAAACGTCAGCGGCACAACGAGCCACCAAGATCTTCACCACGTGCGTTCCCAGAGTGAATCGAGATCGTCATGAGTGCGCAATTTGAAAGAGTGAGATACCGCGAGCAGAAAGACGAGGCAGGTGACAGGACATCTTGTGACAATTTTTCCGAGTCATCAAAAGCAAAAGCAACGGGTCGAACCGAAGCTTGAACGGACTTGTCTTCTGCAGAAGAGTATGCGGCATCAGATGTACCAGCAATTGAGAGCTCATGGCAGGCGCGGGTCTCCTTGGCCCCGGGAGGCGCGAACTTGGTTTTGTGCTGGGCAATGGGGCACTTTTGGTATCCTGCACATGCGTTTACAATTGTGAGCTGAGAGCACATCAGCGATTGTGTCATCAAGGGTGAGGATCTTTTTACTTTGTCATGATGCGTTGCATTATGTTACCGAAACCTTCGAGATCTATGCATTTTCAAAAGTGGCATAATGCAAGCTCTCAGGGCTTTCTACAGTTCAGATCGGGCTGGGTAGCATAGCTTTGGCTTTTCAGGGCCTCTCACAGCCTGTCTAGAGAATAGTTGCAGGGGTGATCGCAAATCACATCTATTTGTGATTGGGGGTGGGGTTCGTTCCTGTTAATTTGCATCTCTAGGAAGTCCATGTCCATCACAGTCATCACGCATACCCAAAGGAAGTCCCTCAGCTTTGGCGCTCAGGTGGCAGCGAGGTGTCAGCTTATAGCGAGCCAAGTGGTGACGGCATTCGCGTGGACGCTGCCCTGTACGCGGGGGGCAAGCCCAGCATGCACTACGCGAAGCCGGCCCGGTTCTTGACTGGGCGTGGTGTATTGAGGAGTTCGCCTGTGAGCCAGGCTTTGTACCATCGTTGCCAGGACCCCTTGGTTGGCAAGTTGATTTGCTACGCACCGGGTGAAGGCAGGGAGGGAGAGGATGGGAGGGAGAGTTGAGGTTCGGCGACGAAGGCTTGAATACTGTGGGCTCCACGACAGCTTAAGGGTCAAGTTCTGACCTCACGATTTGTAGATGGGGCTTGGCAGAAGTTGCCTTTTATCTCTGCGAAGCATCTGCGAAGCATCTGCGAAGGATCTGCGTATGATCCCATATGTTCATGAATCTAACCATTGACGACTCTCCACCACAGGCATGGGATGCCTCAGACCAAATCGCCCGATGGGGCCTTCTTGTAAAGCTTGTAGCACTTGAGCAAAGCTTTCGTACAGCGCGTTGAATGCCTATGTAAGACTGTTTTGAGAAGTTTGTGTACAGCTTTTGTGAACTTTGTAAAACTTTTGAAGAACCTTGTGTAGACGAGCTTTTTTCAGGCGATGAGGCCTTCCAGTCCTGCCGGGAGCGGACCATCGCCGCCCTCGACTCCTACGTCATCGACGGAGCTTCCGGGCCGAGAATGGGTTTAGGGTTTAGGGTTTAGGGTTTAGGGTTTAGGGGGACAGTTCAGGATGCAATGATTTGGAAGCTGCTTTCAGAAGGAGTTCAATAAGGAATCCCCAGCTTTCACGTCCAGAGCTCGCAATCGATGGGATTCACTTGCGCTGCAGTGCTTGGCCCTTTCCAGTCTTCACGTCTGCACCCTGCATTTTGAGGGCTTTGGGGGTCTCACCGGACGGATGTTTCAGTTCTCGGAGATTGCGCTCCATCAGTTTCCATATGCCATCACTCGTGCCCTCCGAAGACCTCTGGTGGGCAAGGTCAACACCAACAAGGTCTTGCTGCGAGGCATCCTGCACCACCCCGAGTTCATCCAGAATGAGGTTTGGTGCTGCTGGTGCTTTCTTTTCAGTGACCTTCCTGGAACCTTTCCAAGCCCCGGCATGCCGCAAAGAATCTCCCTAAATCCAACTGACATGTTGGGTTGCAGGTGCTTCTCTCGTTCATGGCCCGCCACGGCCCGACCCTCGCTGGTGGCCCTGGCACTGCGAGCAGTAGCCTCCCGGCAATTTTCAGTCAGCTCAACTTTTTGTTTCACGTTATATGTGAGGTGCCCTAGGTCTTGAGGCCCAGTTTGGCTGAACTTATGTTTTAGAATGCGGCCCCGTACAGATCTACTGCGCACCACGGCTGAAGATGTCGTCGCCGACTGTCACTTTGGCTCACGTGCTCCAAAAAGAAGAAGACACTGAGCTCAGTGTGTGTTCGACTGCGAACCTGAGCTGTGAGTGCTATACTGCCTCGTCGATGGAATGTCTGAAAATTGGCATCGCAGACAGGCCAACCGTTTGACCAGAAGTATTGGCGTAGATGCTCCGTCACTCCCATACACGACCCTACAAGTGGTTTTGAGGCGGCTGATGCTCTTGATGATTTCAGACAACCGCACTGACACCCCAAAATTGGCGGTGGCACAGTGACCAGGGGTCCCTATGACGACCACAGCCGGTCAGCCGGGGCCGAGTCTAAGGAAACGTCCGTCCATACTCCACTTGACCGAAGCATGTATGTCTACCTGGCAACTCCCTGGAAATCCGAGGCCAAGCATCGAAGCCCGTGGGGCACCCAAAGTCAGTGCTCCATGATTGGTGCTTCTTGCTGCAATGTGGCAGAAATGTGGCAAACGAGAAGCGCAGGCTGTAGATTCCACCCACATGATCGATCAGGACCTGCAAAGGCTCTAGCCCTGAAACCATCCGGCTTCACCAACAGCTTCCTTGCTCTCCCCCCCCTCAGCCCAAAGGCCGGCCCTAGATTTTCGACTCCGTGGGAGAACCGACATTTCACATGCTGGTCATTTTTGAGAGAAGTTGCGAAACAGTGCCACTAAGGCCACCTTGAAGCGCCAAGAGCTGTCGGTCTCTTCACCCTTGGAGGCACTGTCGGCAGATTGCGGGCGGCTTCGTGGCTTCGTAGCAGATTTGACTAAAGAACTCGAAGTTTTATTACTTTTTACAATTATATATATATATATATGTATATTCTTATTATTTGATTCAGGCGACCGTGGTGCAGAGCTGCGTCCAAGAAGGCCAAGAGGCCTGGCAGCCCGAGTTCTTAGCTGAGCGCGCAGGCCCTGTAGAAGCCTGGTGGTAGCCCTGCGTAGCTGCTTTCGCCCACCATGTTGACATGCCTGCGCACACATCAGCCAGTCGGCAACATGCCTGAGGATGAGGCAATCTAGTCCAGACTTCAAGTGATGAAACTCGTTTCTGATTGGCATGATCGTGCCGTGTTTTTTTTTCGGGAGATGTGGCTGGGGTTGGTAGGGGTTGGTACCGGGCACCAGTCCCAAGTGGAATGCCAGGTCGAGGAGGGACAGCTGCTGGTCTTGCTCTCGGCCATGAAGCTGGAAACCGAGGCGACTTGCGGTTTAGCTCCTCCCTGCTCCGCTCCACACACTGTCAAAGGGCAAAGCTATGCAAAGCTGATTGAGCCAATGTGACGTCGGCCAGGTCCGGTCCCCGCATGCTGGAAAGGCGCCTCGTTGACATCTTGAAGTCTCTGAATTCTCCTCACGGCAAGAAAGTGTTTTTGTTGGGCAGTAAACGCGAAACAGGGCAGAGTTGGCCCACAAGCACGGTCTTGTTTGACGGTTGCTTGTCTGCACAAGAAGGACGGGGTGCTCTCAGGTGCTAAGTGTTTCCGCGGTCGCGAACCAGACAGTCAGTGCAGGCCAGGATTTGGTTGCCCCTTGGCTCGAGAGAGGGGGTCTCTCACGGTCTCTCATGGGAGTCTGCTGTTGGGAGACTGCTTTTAGAGAAGAGATCTCAGGGGTCAGGTGTGACTCTGCAGCTTCTGCTGCCGGAGGGGAGGTGTGGGATTACTGTGGATTAATGCAGGGGTTGTGGCTCGTATCACATTCCGCAAAAATCAACGCTCGCCGAGGTTTTGGATGCTCTGGTTCCTGAGGACATCCTGTTGTGGGAGATCTCGTGCCTTCAAATTTCAAACTGGGAGCCTTCACTGTGACAATTTGCCCCGATGCATGGTGGATATCCTTCGGAGGAAGCTCGGGCCTTCTTAAATTGCTGGTCAAATGAAGCTGGTGAATGCCTATGCAAACCTAGGTTCCCTGTAGTGGCAATATTGCTTCGCACCTTGCAGGTTGCTGAAACCCCTTTCTTACACCTTCCAACCCTTTGGTACTTTTGCAACACAACCTGCAAGCCCTTTCACGATGTAAGAGGCAAGTCATGAAGATCACAACAGCCTTGCGGGCAACATTCAGCCAGTAATTGCTGAAGAACCCCCCCCCAAAAAATAGAAAATACTCTTCCTCATAAGGGTAATATATGGATTCTTATTGTTTTTTTAATTCTTTAGACCTCTCTTAAGCAAATGGTAGCCAGCAACCCGAAGATGCCACCACCTCAACATAAAGCCCCCCTCGCGGCTTTCTCGCAGTGCGAGAGGATGGCGAAGGTGCTGCTGCCGAGACGGCGGCTATGGCATCCGCGAGCCGTGTGCAACTGGGCCAGCAACCGATCGCAAAGGTCTTTTCTTTTTTTTGAGATGAGGGGGTACCTTACTGGGGTCCCTATTATTACAGGGGAATCCTACTCTTTGGGGGTCTATATTAGGGGGTCCCTTATTGTCGTAAACCCCCATGTCGTGCTGTCCACACAGACCCTGAGCCCCCCCTGCATCAGCCCTGCAACATGGTTTCCCCATTGCTACTGTGTTCAGGGCCTCTTAAGGTTCTTGATAACATTTTTCAGCCTGATGCGAATCTCCACCTGGACATCAGCGTGTGACAGCAAACCTCAGCACCTGACTTGTGGAAAGGCGGACAACAGAAACCTTTCAACAGAAGGCAAGGCCAAGTAGAATGTCCCAAGCCTGAGTTGTACCATGTGCAAGTGCCTGCCACGTCCCACTGCTTGAAACAATACCCACACCCTGAAAAGGAACGTGAATGCCTGTTGTTCCCACCACTTATTTGCGGCATAGGAGGCATGCCAAAAGCGAAGATCGGTGAGCATGTGGGCGCGTGCTTGAGAAAACGGATCCGATTGTCGCCACTTCACCACTTCGCCTATGTCGAGTGACAGTTGCTGTGAGGCTTTGCCCCAGGTTGGAAGTTGCTCTGTCCTTGAATGTGGGGAGTTTACGAAAGCACGGGGCCCCTATAGTAGACCCCAAATAGTAGGATTCCCTTATAGGAAACCCGCATGTGGCTTGAGCACAGGCGACTCGTGGGGTCAGCGATGGCAGATGCAACTTCCGTGTGGTACGGCAAGGAAGATGGCAGCAGCCTTGGTTTGACACAATTCAGCATCTTGTGCCGGCAGGCCTCTGTGCATGAGCTCCACAACATCTGCAAAGAACATGCAACCAGACACGCACTCTCCCATCCCCATCGGAGACTATGTGATGACAGCAGGGTCACTGCAGTGCCGCGCAACACTAAGTTCTCCACAAGGCAACGCAACCGGAGATCTGCAGAAACTTGTGGAAAACCGGCGAAAATCCTCCCTCTGCTTAGCCAGCCCCCCTGTGCCAGAATAACTCGCATTAGGGTGGCGTAGGTGGCACTGGGTGTGCATGGGTTGCTGTTTTCTGCGGTCCCGGCTGTGCTCTGGAAACCTTGGGACTTGGGGTTGTGGGGCCTTTAAGCTATTGCTTTTCTAAGCTTTCGGAATGCTTCTGGCCATTGGCCACGCAGAAGTTCGCGTAAGTTTTTTGTGTGACGTGCACGGCCGCGCATTTTGATTCTGTTTCGATTTTCTTCTGGGGAGGGCAGTGGGCCATCTGCCCACCCCCGGAGAATCCTGCACATGGCACACAGTAACCCCTAGCCCTAGAGTGCCGGAATCTCTGTAGACTTTTCCTGCAGCGGCCAGTCCCCCAGCTACAATGTCCGTCAACTTGCGTAGGTTCAGGGTGAGGATGATGGGCTTCGTGAACGCTGGATGTACGGTCAGCTTCTACCCAGACGGCTTGAGTTTGTGGGGAGTCGAAGGACCGAATGCTTTAATTTGCCCAGGCCCGAAGCGAAAAACAGGTGAAAGGATTACGTATGGTTACATGCGCAGCAAGATGCGGCAAGCACGTGTCTGAGTCTGAGGTGTCAAGCCGTGCCAGGGCCCGACATCCAGCAGCATCCGGTTGCCTGCTCCACGCCACAGCGACGAGGACACCAGCGCGGGTTGCGACGTTGTCCGTGCTGCATGGGCAGGTTGTGTATGGGTTTACATACTCAAAATCAAAACAGCGGGATTCTGTGGAAGGTCAGCTTTTCTTTTTGGATTTGTGGAGTGGCTTTGTACATACAGTGTGACGCTGTTTCGTTGGCAAGTTTGGTCTCGATGCATGGTTCGCCGCCCTTCTGGATTTAAGGGTTGCCTGACTTCTGGTTCATTCGGGGGAGGCGTGGCCTCAGTCCGTAGGCATGTTTAGAGAGAATCTCGGCAGCTTCCTGCGCACAATCCAACACAACCCTCATCTTGGGCTCATGAGTCGGCGCCTTCCCAAGCTGCAAAGATAAAGACCTTCTGCGCTAGTTACACACCCGCTGCTCTTGGCCAGACCTTCCTCAAGCGGAAAGCGCACCACACCGCCCTGCTGGATTCTGGGACTTGCTTGGGTTTTTCCAGGGCGGGAGTTCTGTTTCGATTGGGCTGCGAATGGCCAGCTCTCTAAGCGAGAAGGTTCCCGCTCTTGTGAACTGAGGGCTTGAGCTAAGACTTCTCAGACCGTGTCTACATGCTTTTTTCTTGCTTCCAATTGCCCATCATCCCATCTAAGAGCGCTTTTCCTTGCCCATAAATCCTAAACTTTAAACCCTAGGCCCTAAACCCTAAACCCTAAACTCAAAACCCTAAACCCCCTTCAAGTTGTGTTGCAGTACTTGCTGCGAGCAAGTTGCGCCCAGCGATGCGTAGGCTCATGGGAGACCTCAATTTGTGAAGGCGTGCCTGGATGGGTCACCCAAAGCGGTGAGGAAGGCGATTTTTTGCAGGCTCTCTTTTTGGGCAACTTCAAATGTCAAACTGATCTTTATTTTTATAGGAAAGCAGGGAAGGAAGGAAGGAATGAAGGAAGGAATGTAGGTGGTGAGTGTAGATATTGGAAGATACTAGCAATTCAAAGTTTGCAAATGGGGGGGGCTACGCCCCCCCCCCTCAACCCCTCTCTCTTTTTTAAAGCCGTGCAAGCTTCAGAGCATACGCATCGTTTCGAAACCTCTGACGCGAGCCTTGTGTTTGCATAATGAGGGGGGCTGACCCCCCCCCCCCCCCCGAAGCATGTTGGGCCCTTAAGCCCCGAAGCAAGCTTGTACGACTTAAGAAAAAGAGGGGAGGTTGGGGGAGGCCTATGCTATTCGTATGACAACAGCTCGATGGGTAGCTCTGCACAGCGCAAAAACTGTGGTTCTTCGCATGAAAACACACCAACATTATGGTCTGTCGTACGAAACACACACCAAAGGTATGGTTTTTCGTATGCACGGGCCTGCGGGCAGAACGCGATGTGTAGCTCAGCACAGCACAAAAAATGTCGTTTTCATATGCACACCAAACCATGGTTTTTCATATGAAAGCACACCAAAACTATGGTTGTTCGTATGGCAACACAAATGTTAAAATCAACTATCAGTCAGTAAGCATGTGCACAATGTAGATACAGACGTCATCTATTTCTCAAAGTTATTTCCGCCACTCGTGAATTACCCTTTCCAAGCCAGCAGCAGAGAAACCAAGGGTTCGAAGATGCCGACAACCATTGCGCGAAACATCGTCTTATTCTAGGGCAGTTTCATGTCTCGACAAGTCGCTTATCCATGAGATGTGGACAAGGACAGTGCAGGGATATTTACGGTTTTGTTTTATTGGGGGTGTGGCTTGGTGGGTGCGTTTTCGTCGGCTTCCTTGGACATTGATTCGGGTTGGCAGATTTAATTGCGGGAACAGGTGGCTGTCGACGTTCGTACTTGACCGGCCATCCCGAAAGTGTTTTGCCATCCATCTGGCAGCTGCCTCTACGATCAAAGAAGGATTTCCAAGTGCCGAAAGTAGCGGTTGGTGACATCTTTTGTTCAAGTCGCCCAATCATCCAGAGTGCAAGAATTGTTGTTCACGCTTGTCCACTGGGAGGGAGGGAAAGGCTATAGTCAGCGCTACCCACTTCTGCAGCATGACAGCGGAAGCCAAGGATGAGCTCAACAAGCGCCTGGAGGTTGTATACGCTGGAGGAGGCACGGGGTGAGGGGCTGGACGGGCTCCTCTTGTGAATTGAATGTAGATGCTGTGCCTGCTACTGGTAACATCGCATCCGAACTGAATGTGGGATGAGAAGTTAGCTTGCATGATGCTGGTTCTTCAATGGGGCGCAGATTCCGCAGTGCAGGCGAGACGGCAGTGGAGCAGCATCATGCCCGTGGCAAGGCAGGGGCATGACATCTTCCACCTATTGTGTCATCAGCCTACACTTCGAGTTCGAGTGAAGTGCTCATAAGCGATCTTCACAAGATTGTGGATGTGATGTACATGTGGATAGCTGTGGCTTGGGGCCAGATCCCTGATGGGTAAGGGAAGTCTTAGACGGTGATCTTTTTCCAGGAGTTGATTCTCAAAGAAGCGGACCGAGATGATGTCGCGTTTTGCTCTGAGCCCAAGGCCTTGCCACGGGAGCGCATCAAGGCGATTCTGGCCGGGTCCCTGGGTGAGTTGGTCAATGTTCGCATCCTTTTATTACTGTCTTCAGAACTACAGCCAAATCAAAATAGAGGCGAAATGCCAGTGCCAGACCTTAGTGGTCCATCTTTGTCTTCTTTGCAGCCATCGCAAAAGGGCGTCTAACGCTACGTCTGTGCTGCCTGGGTGCAGAGGAGCTTTAGGACATTCTAGGACTTGGAATGAGTAGTCAACAGAAGTGCTGCTTCTGAGACACGAAGTGCAGTTTTGCCACAAGTGTGCACACACAATGCGGCTTTTGTCTTAAGAACAGATCGGTGTAGCCACGCGCACGCAGTCCGGTCGGTTTCGGGCCGCAAGCACGTGCACGTGCCGGCGTACTTCAAACTGGCTTGAGCACAGCTGCTCGCATCTTCACCCTGAAACACCCTTTTCTGTGGAACATGCGTCGTCATGTGCGGTCAGATGAGCCGAACTGGACACCAAAATGCAGCAGCGATTCGACTCCACGTTGTGCTCCATCTCAGCCTTTGCAAACTTCCCAGTCGGTGCTGTTCAGCTCTCAGCACCTTGCTTCCCCACCTTGCTCAGGGGTGTCCTCTGCACTATCTTGGTTTTGGCCGTGCATGAGTGACATCGCTACGTGAGCATCAACTTGGTCACTCTGGGTGACCCTTGATACTTGTATCTTCTTCCATAGTCTAGATGACAGGTCCGAGGCTGCCTGGCTTACAAATCCTTTTTCCTTTTGGTCGAGTCGTCATGTCGGAGGGTGACGACTTTTGCTTAAGGTCTACGCCAGTCGCAATTTGCGTTTACCAGCTGTGAAGAATGATTGCAAGATGATCCACGCTTGTGTTTTAGGGCTTCGGGTCTTGCTTCCTGTGTGAGTTGGGGCCATCGCGGTCTGATTCAACCTCCAAGCTGAAACGCGCCTGGGTTTTTTTTCGAAGATTCGCCAGAAGCACCCCGCATGCCTGCATTGCTCCTTAAGCCTTTGAGTCTAGAGGTAGGATAAGAAACTCAAGCGAGTCAGGCTTCAATTGGCTCTGGGTAAGCTCGGCGGACTTCGTAAACTCCTGAAGCATGGTAGACCCAGCCTTAGGATCCGGGAACGGACTTTCTGGAATTCTCCGCCCAGAGCTCAGAGGCTTACAGACGCAGTCTGCCTTGCTTGCTCGCATGGACGACTCGGACTTTTTAAGGCCCTAGCAGCCAATGACCTTTACGATGGCATGGCGCACTCTGCAGGCCTGTCTGAGGAAGGGTTGGGTCGACCATGGTTCCACCATGTGCTGTGCCAAGGTATGCTAGCTTCTAGAGACAGATGCTAACGGGTATCCACGGCTCTGCGGCAGTACAGACATGTATTTCGCCTCGGGTGATCCTCTCTTTTCTCCTCGGCCACACAGGTATTGTTACTGGCGTCGGCCTGGTGCATGGCAAGGAAGTCCTCTTTGTAGCAAACGATGCTACGGTCAAAGGCTCCATTGCGCGCACGTTTGTTTCAGCTTTCAACTTCAAATTTCGGAATCTTGGGCTGGGAGCAGGGAGTTGGTGCCATGCTTAGCTGAAGCTATTGCTCCCTGCTCAAGATTCGTAGAAGTAGACATGACTGCGTGGGGACCTTCAGTGTGGCATGGCTTCCACGCTTTTTGTGCTCTCAGGTGGCACCTACTACCCCATGACGGTGAGCAAGCACTTGCGGGCGCAGCAGATCGCCAGAGAGAACAACCTTCCGTGCGACTTCGTTGAATGCAAGCTTTGGAGGGGCTACGCTATACTTTGCTACATTCTTCGTGGCTGCTGGGGCTCGGGCTCGACAGGGCTGTACGCACGCTGTCACCTTCCAAAGTCTCAGACTTTTCTGGGCCCGAGTTCACAGGCTTGTGCAGCTCCATGGGATTTGATGCCCTTGGTGCTTGAAGAGTTCAGGAGGGCATTTAAGGGTACCCACGGGCACCTCGGAGTCTCTATGAGAAGCCCGAAGCCCAGGCGTCTACCTTGTCGACAGCGGGGGCGCGTACCTTCCACTGCAGGACGAGGTGCGGGCTGACACGGGGGAGGCAAGAGAAAAGCACAAAGGCAAGAGCAATGAATAAAGCTCAAAGCTCTTCACCCTGGAGCCTGAGGTGTTCCCCGGACGTCTGCACTTTGGCCGTATCTTCTACAACCAGGCTCTGGCCATCTTGAGAAGCTGACACGGTGCATTTCGGGCCTAGAGTCTTTTCGTCAAAGAGCTGTCAGACGACTGTCTCTTAGCTTTGCGCTCTCACGTGGCTGTTTCTCACACAGACTTCATGCATTGTCAGAACTTTAACCCTTCCTTCTGTGCTAGGCGCAAATGTCTCGCCGCGGCTTGCCGCAGGCTGCTTGGACTTGGCAGAAGTGTTCGCTATAGGAAGCAGGAATGAAGCAGAAGCTTGGTGGTCACTGACGCGCAAAGCAGCTGCAGTTTAATCCGAGCTCCTGTTTAATTGGTGGGGGGGCCCCCCCCCCCCTCCCCCGCCCCCACAACAAGGAAAGCAGGGTTCCGCAATAGTTGGACCATGGCCCCGTATGGTTTCTCTATTAAAAAACAATAAGAACGTAGGGCGAGAGGTGCAGCCTTAGCAGAAGAAAAAAGCTTTCCGAAAGGCAGAGTTTCAAAATTTGACAACCCCCCCAAAAAATTTCTTTAAATGTGGAGGGTTTGGCCCATGCGAAATCCATCGTAATGGAAAGTAGTCTTCCGGCGGGAATCCGGGCAAAAAAAATTTCTTTAAATATGGGGGGTTAAATTAGACAGGAGCTCGGATTAATAAGGAGTGCGATCATGCAGAATCATGCAGAGAAGATGGGGCAATTAGGTGTGCCTTTTCGCAAGAGCAAGCATGATACAAACCATGGCTCCGCCCAGATCTCGGCTGTCCTGGGCTCGTGCACCGCGGGTGGTGCCTATGTGCCGGTGCCTGGGATGCCAAGTACTGTAAAAAACGGGAAGAAGCTTCTTCTGTTCGAGGCTTAGAACGCGCGCACTTGCCTAGCACTCACCTTCCTGGTTGATCTTGAAGCAAACTCAGATGTCTTCAATTATCAGACCGCAGTGTGGGATCCTGACTGGGACCGCTGTACCAGATGTGTCGCCTCCAGCGTCCACAAGTTCCCACAAGCTTCTGCTGCTTTTGAGGCAATGTCAGATGAGAACATCATTGTCAAGGGCAGCTTGGCAGTAGACTATATACTTTCTGAGTTGACCAATTTTATCGGAGACATCTCCAGGCACTCGAAGCCAAAACCTTCAGCCAAGGCTTGCAGCAACACAACAGTTTGATTTCTGCTTGTCATTACTGGTTTTGGTATCGTTTTCGTATCCAAAAAATCACGAATACCAAGCGCGTACTGTAGGGATTCAAGCCGTGAGGTCAGAATGATGCGGAGACTTTTGAACAGCATGCGCAAGATGGCAAACACACCGCATGACACAACCGCAGGGGGCTGCGTGCCCTGCGTAGAAGTGCACGAAGCCGTCGCGGGGAAACATCAAAGCTTCAGGTTTACTGCTTGCAAGTATGATCCTATTCGGCAAGCGCAGGCTTTCATCGAGGCTTCAGTGTGCTCATGCTGTTCTGCTGTTATTGGCTAACCGTCGGCCCTTCTGATCCTTTGGTGTGTTCGTGGCGCTGTGCGTCGCGTCTCAGCTTCATGGCGGAATCATCGGATTCCCGAATCGCTGAACCTCTAGCCAGCCACGATGCAGAACCCAAATGAAGACCGTCCTCTCCGGCCCAAAATGCCCCCTGGTCCTGACGCTTCGCCTACTTCGGCAAGGGGGGGTTCGCAGTCTGTCAAAAAGCTCGCCGGGGTTGACCTTGACAGAAAATTCCCTAGACTAGGATGTAGACGCCTCAGGCGCCGATGATTCCAATCTCACTAAGCCGCAGGCAATGGCACCATCTTCTTGGGTGGGCCACCCCTGGTAAAGGCCTCCACTGGCGAAGTGGTTTCCGCCGAGGCTCCCGAGCCCTTGCTTTTGGTGGTTGCTCCTTCGGAATGGCGAAGTGCCAACATCCCATGCTCTGGTAGTTTCGACCAGCTACCTTACAGCAAGCCCATCCTTATAGCCCCTTATAGCCCCTTTTGGCCCCCTTTTGGGGCCCCTTTTGGGCCCCCTTTTGGGCCCCGTTTTGGGCCCCCTTTGGGATCTTTCAGAGGAGCTCGGGGGTGCCGATGTGCACACCTCCAAGTCTGGAGTCGCAGACCACTACGCGGAGAACGAGCCGCAGGCAGCATCCCATGACAGGTTTAGGGTTTGGGGTTTAGGGTTTGGGGTTTAGGATTTAGGGTTTAGGGTTTGGGGTAGGGTTTAGGGTTTGGGAGCTGCGTCCTGAGTAGAAGGCCTGGCGCATGACCGGCGCATGACTGCAGCTTGCCATGCTTTTGCAGATGAGCCAGGGGCTCTTTGCGCTTGGCTCAGGCCTTGGCGATCTGCCGTGAGGTGCGACGTGCGCGGACAGTCCAAAGTCTGCCGTATCAGGGTGACACCCAGAACTGCTTAGTGGGTCGCGTGGTTCTCAATTCAATCAGCCTAAACTATCTAGAAGGAATAGGCTCGCCCTCCGGTAGCGTAGATCTAGAAACCTTTGATCTGGAGCGGTTCGGCTTCCGAATACGTGGTGCCAATGACTGCCGTAACATCGTGTGCCGTACTCGCTCCTGGCCCTCAGGTGCTGGCGCATGTTGGTGAACCGACGCATCCGAAGCACCCAGAGGCGTCGAAAAAGTTCAGTAGCAAGCGTTTGGATGCCCAAGGGCTCGCAAGTTCTTTGTCGTTGCCACCCTAAGAATCCTAAGCCCTCGAAATGATGCCAGGTCAAGTTTTGACACCGCTCTTTAAAGCGCGGGAGAGCTCCTAAGCACCGGCGATGATCACCGGGAGGTGGAGCCGGAGTCCCCACTTTTCGACCCCAACGACCTGCTGGGAATTGTCCCTGAAGACAACTCCAAGGCTGGCAGGGCTCGGACAGGATTCGAATGCAGGATGCATCCATCCATGATGCAACTCGTGCATGGTGCACTCAGGGCTCGTGTAGTGAGTTAGTAGCACCCATGGAACAGCTTACCTTGCTTGAATGAGTACTTCTTGCCTGCTGTCAAGCAATCATCAGCAGCTCATTGGCCCACATTCGCAAGAAGCGACAGAAGTCATCTGCTCCACAGCGCAGCCAGAAACACATCATTCTGTCAAGAACTCGCACTACGCACCTGTGCTGAGGGTTTGATGTTTGGCGCTAGGCGTTCGGTCGCATATTTGCTTTCCTCGGCCTTCTCATGTGTGAGATCTTGATGTAAGCTTTGTTGCGCTGTACCTTTTCGCTCTGACGGATTCTGATCCTTGGCGTTTGTCAGATTGGCATACCGGCCTGAAGCTACCAGGAATCGGGCTTTGGAGTTGCGCTGGTGTGCCTTTGAATGAAACTTGTGCTGGTCAAGATCGTGCTGTAATCTGCAGTAGTGACTTTCGTGCTTGTATTTCTCGTCATGATAATTTGGCACACTGCATTTTTCGAGAAGGTTTTTGCCGTTGAGGGTCGGGAAGCCTGCAGCAGCTTGAGTCCCAGACCATTGGAGCCGTGAAGCTGGCACAGCCGCTGACAACCTTGCCATCTGCTGTTGCATCTGTTGCAATCCCTTTCCGCGCACATGTTTAGTAAATGTAGATGTAAATGTAGTACTGGATATATTTTCCATCATCTTGTTGAACTCCGTGTGCACCTGCGTTTGCAATTTCTCCCAGCAACTCCCTAAGCCTGCCCCGAGCTGGCAGGCTTTAGAAGTGAGGGAGGCCCGTTACTGCAGGGTTTTGGCCCGGGTTTGCTGGTCCACTGCCGCTACATGGCGCTACGTATTCTTAGTTTCTGTTCTTCAGGTTTACGAAGCCGGGGCCATTGTTGAGCGGTTGTTTTGCAGTGTGTTGAGCCATTCAGGTAAATCTTTGGTTCGGACAGAGTTCGTGCTTTGTGGACTTGCGAATTGCAGACCTCTTCCAGCAACTCAGATTGAGTATGACATCCCCTTCAATCTCTAGTCTGATTTCTTTTCTTCACGAGGCTCTTCCATCGTCTTACATGCCATGCACGTTCGACTTTTGAGATTCCGGAAATGCATGTGCTGAATTCGAAACTTCTGTATGTAAACGCTGCCATGCCAGGGAAGTCAAGCCTACGTCACAGCCGCAAATTGCTGAAGACCTTGCCAGATCATTGCTCGAATCGTGGACGGATCGCGGTTCCATGAGTTCAAGCACAGGCAGAAGAGTTGCCGATGTGCCACGACATCCATCTGGGGCATTGCAGTAGGTTCCATGTTGTCAACCACGCAGACTGGTTGAGTTGACTTCTATCAGCTTCGAGGGAATGAAGTAGGAACCTGGCTGTGCTGTGCTCGCTTGATGGCCTGACAGGTGTAGCTGAAGAGCTGCGTAAGAAAAAACCTTAGCAATGTTGGTTCAAGAAGGTTTTGGTGCCTCTCTGCATGGGAGTCTGGAGGTTTGGCACCACTTTGGTGTGCGGCTTCGCACACATCCATGGCTACCCCATTGGCCCCCTGGCAGCGATTTTATGTTGGGGATCGGAGCAGGGATTGAAGGCAAGGATTGGAGTTCATGGATTTCGGGTGCCCCGTAAAGACACCCAAACGTGATAAAGCCACCAACTGCACCACCCAGCCACCGGATTAGCCCCCGAGGATCCCCTCAAAACCCCTTATGCAAGCTGTCGTGAGGAAGCAAGAGTTAAGAAGTCTCAAAATCGGGAGAGGATTGCCTGTCAGGGGCGGGGTCCGAACTCCCCCCCCACCGACAGGAAACGAATTAAGTCCAGAGCTAGGTCTTGTAGGGTGTGTGATGGAGATGCTTTGGCTTTCAGGGGCAAGTAAATCTAAGTTTTGTATGCCTCGGGTCTTCACAAGCAATAAGGAGCAACTTTGAGTCGAAAAAGAGGCTCGCTATCGGTATTTTGTCTCGGTTCCCTCGGTTTCAAATCTCGAGTCTCCAAATACAACTAACGCCAGATGTGCTTGTTTGGGTCCTGGCTCTGGGGAAGCCGTCCCTGTGTTTGCATCGGGTCTTCTTTGGGGAGGCAGCTTACAAAAGATTTTTCATTCCAAAGGCACCACGACATCAAGAACTCCCAACCGCTAAAACCCTGCCATCTTCGATGGCACCCAAGGCATTGTGGCCAACAATGGGATCCTGTTTGGTGAGTCGGCGATGAGCTCAGGATTGCTGTGTTTTGGTTTTCCTGAAGGGAGCTACCCTAAACCCTAAACCCTAAACCCTAAACCCTGAACCCTAACCCTAAACCCTAAACCCTAAACCCTAAACCTAAACCCTGCTGAACGAAACCTCCTGGTTTCCTCAGGCCCAGAAGGGAGCCCACTTCGTGCAGCTTTGCGGCCAGCGGCGCATTCCACTTTTGTTCTTGGCCACGATTTAGCTTTGCTACCAGTTCAGTAGCTTGGTAATTGCTGAAGAAGGGCACAAAAGTAGAGAGCAGGGTTTAAAAGGTTGATTGGCAAGGCTTGAGCTTGACAAGTCCAGCATGTTAGGATGCGATAAAAACAGAACCCAAGACTTAGGATGTAGTAATTAGGTCTTGGATCTTAGGAACGTCGGAACTTCATGAGCTTGAGCACGCCAAATTGCCAAAGCCTGTCATCAACAGCGCCAACATGAAATCTGCTGTAGCTCTCTTCAGCACGGTCCGCTCTCTCGGCATGCCCCCCCCCCCCCCCCCCCCCCCAAATGGTGACGTAGAATTCGGACCCCGAAGCAAATGGATGGCAAAATATTGGAGACTCAAAAGTCTAAAGGACTATCGAGAGAATCCCTTCAAACGATGTGCCGTGACAATTCTCCGGGGAACCATTGCCCACGAGGTTCCTGCAGAACATCACCGGCTTCATGGTGGGGAAGGCGCCTTTGCGTTCCATTCACGGGAAAGCTTCTGAAGCCAGCAAAGCCAGCAAAGCCAGCGTCAACAATGCCCGGTCCTTAAGCTCAAGATCCAGTGAGCCTTCTGAGTGTACTCAACTTAATGTCGTGTCCCACATGTGGTAGCAACTAAGTGGAAACGAACGCGTGCCAGCGCGCGTTCTGGATGGAGCTCGCCATCCTGGAAGCAACAAAATTAGGGTTTAGGGTTTAGGGTTTAGGAGTTTCAATAGATCAGATGCGGGCATGCGCAGGCCTATGAGAATGGCGGCATCGCTCGCGACGGGGCCAAGATGGTGAACGCCGTGGCCTGCGTGGACGTGCCAAAGACGCCAGGCAAAAACTCCAGTTGTAGAAAGTACTTTCAGGGTCCAAACCCTAAACCCCAAATGCTAAACCCTAAACCCTAAACCCTAAACCCTAACTGCAAGCATGCCCTAAGCGCGAGGCTCCAGCGTTCGAAAGGCCGGCTGTTCTCTGCCTGCGCATTCAGGATCACGGTGATCGTGGCTGGCAGCCATGGTGCTGGGAACTATGGCATGTGCCTTCGGCATGCTTAGGGTTTAGGGGGTTTAGGGTTTAGGGTTTAGGGTTTTTTTGGTTTAGGGTTTAGGGTTTAGGGTCTAGGGTTTAGGGGCGTTGTCATTTTTTCATAAGGCAGTTTTATAGTATTCAGGGGTCACTGAATAGGATGGCCGAGGTGGAGGACTTTCGCATGTCTTTGGCCCTGATGTATGCTCGGGAAATCACACTTGTGTCAGGAGGCATCAGTTTTGTCTTGGCAAGGGTTCCTGGCCACAATCCCCAGCCTACCCCATCAGATTGTTGTGCTGATAACTGTGTTCATGGAATGTGTGTTCTTGCTTCAGGCATGAGACCTGCTTTTGCTTTCCATACATGCACCATGTGTTTCAACGTGATGACACTGCTTGGCGCAGGCTCGCTCAGAGTGTGTCGTGCAAAATTATGTTGTTGCCATTTGCGGTTTGCCTGCCTTGGTCACCAGATGATTTGAACTCACGCTTGGGGTATAGCATTGAAGCTTTGTGCAGTTGTCATTCGTAGCCTTGGCCTGGCTAGGGCAGCAGCCTGTGAATCAAGCTGCCAGGCTTTCAGCGACCCGCGTGAATTACAAATACACATGAGAAGCACCAGTTCTCGAAGTGGGACGAACGCTCTAGAGACATCCAAAACCTGCAAACCCAACCAGGCTAGTCCTTTGCCCCTTTGCAGGTGCGGCCGTGCTTTTGATCCTCGCTTCCTGTTCATGTGGCCCAATGCCCGCGCCGCCGGCGAAAGCTTGTAGACGGAGTGATCTCTCAGGGTTCTGCAGTGGGAACGGGCCTCCTCTTGAAACTCTTTTTTTGTTTTGTTCGTGTAGGGTGGGATAGGGCTGGAACAGGCTTCGAGGTTGGAAAGACAGTGAAGTGATCACGAGCGATAGTGGGAGCAAATGCAGATCTGAAATGTCGCCACAGTGGTTTAGATGTCAGTCTCGATAGCAAGGACACTCCGGAGATTTCCGAGTTAGTTGGTTCGAAACGACGAGCTGTTCAGGGTGTCCCGTCTCGGTGGCTGCAGCCCAACAATGCTTTGTGCCGTTCGTTAGCAAACACATTTGTGTGTGTGTGCAGGGTATCCACGCTGGTTACGTCTATTGGCAGAAGCGACAGGCAGCGGAGTGGCCACAGCCCATGCTTGCCATGCAGCCAGGAATCGGCGTGATGGGTGGTTCGCAGGCGGCGGAGGTTCTCGCAACCGTGAAGCAGGCGGGTCACCGCTGGCTTAGTTCCGTTCCGAAGCTTGGGTGGAAGTACGATTCCCGAGCCAGTCACCTAAAAGGCCACCACATCCTACCCCAGTCACAAGTGGCTTAGGGCAGCTATGGAGCACTGTGGCGCGAGTCCCAGAGGCGCAGCTGAAGCGACAGGACAAGCCTGAGATGACCGATCAGCAGTTCCTGGACTGGGCTTAGAGGGTTTATATGCTACTAGCTGATACTTGCAGTGTGGCTTGCAGAACTCACTCGTGACCATTCTCCGCGTACTAGTACACATTTTGTTTTTACAGCAGGTCACTTGCCAGCCACACGAGCCTCGAAGCAATGTCCACCGCGATCTGAAAGCTGAGCTTTGCGCGAAGACGAAATTATGCGAATTCAGGCCATGAGAAAGATAGGAGAAGAAGAGAAGAAAGATGGGAGGAGACAAACTACACTATTTGGGGAGAAATTCCCAGGATGGCGTAAAGTGAGCATTGGGGCGGCTCCGCGCTAATGCATTGCGACTAGCATGACTGGAACAACGGCTGAGAAGAAAACCCCATACGATGTGAGGACAGCTAAAGTTCCTACGCGCGCAAATGCCAGCAGCCGAACCGCCTGTAAAGCACTTGAGGTGTGAAATATTTGTAAACCCCTTTGCAGGTGCGCCAGCTGCTGCGAGCAGCTTTACAGAATGATCTCGAAAACGTCGGGTAAGAAGGCTTAAGCGGGTATGGGGTTCGAGCAAACCCTTTACAACCCCAAACTCACCTATGAAATCGAAAACCAACTCCTGCCATGTGATTCTAGCATCTGAAACACTAGCGTCGTTAGGGTAGTGCCACCGGTCTTGAGACCAGAACTCCAGCAAGTTTTGCGTACACATTTTGGGTACGACCGCGGAAAGGGATTCCCCGCTGGGACCGGAAACGGCTTTTACGGTGCAAACGCAGTACGTGGAAGGGGATTCCCGGCCCGGGGGCCATGGGTACCAGCGCCGTATGGATTTCCGTCGAAACCTTGGACCATCTTGGTCCAAGCAGCTTTTTTTCAGAACAGATGCAGTATCGCGGAAAAGATTTCCGGCAGTGGGGCCCGGAAGTAGTCTGTTTCCAATACAAAGGAACTACGCAGAAGGGGAGTTCCCGATCCGGGGGCACGGAAACGGCTCGTGTTAAAGTAGAAGCCGCAGTACGCCGAAAGTTTGGGCTCGATGTTCGCGGAGGCTGGATGGCGTCGACGTATATGCTTGGTTGGGAAACCCTTTAACGGTTTACGAAAATAGGGGACCCCCAAAACAGACCGCGAAATAGTAGGATTCCCTGATCAGGACCCAATCCAGGTAATTACCCCTAATTTCGGACAACCCCATTCTGGGCTTTGAAAGACTCTGGGACTGGGATGCTCGCGATGTGACCAGGCCAGGTGAGTGGTGATGAGGCAGCCATCACAACCATAATGCAAAAGGATAGGGCTGCAAGTTGTATTGGCGGGTGGCCACACGCCCTGGCTTGAGAGTAGTGGTGGCCGTTTCCGTGGTTTATTTGACATAAGAACTTCATGATTGTTTCTCTGTAACTCACCGTTGCGTCCCTGCCAACATCAGGTTGCAGGAGTTCAAGCGGCCAATTCTCGAGAAGTATGAGGCGGAAGGCAGGCTCTGACTACAATTGCATCCGATGTGCCCCAGGAGGCAGTGAATTCCACTTTGGTGTGCGGACTTTCAGAGGACACGTTGTTGTTTCTTCCACTTTCTGTGCTTCCATCGGATGGCCTCAGGGAACCCCTACCACTCTACATCTCGTCTGTGGGATGATGGAATCATTGTCTGGGCCTTATTTGGACCCGGGAGCCTGGAATCTGAGTCTGAGCTGTGACACGTCGACATCACACGACGTCCCTGCTGCTTCTCCTGTCGACATAAAGAGGCTGCATTGAAGACCACTAGCGATCAACCGGACTGACTGTCCTGATAGGAAGTTTCCAGTGCTGTTTGCTACAAACTTGTGCTGTTGGCATGCCGACATGTACAGGGCCTTGCTGTATCGCCCCCTGCCTGCACTGAGGACCCCCGCGACACAAGGCAAGTGCTGGGTAGATGCCTGTGCCTGGGCTAAGGCAACTGGTTGGAAATCAACTTGAGTGCTTCGTTTGCCTCCACATTGGCCAGGCCACACCTTGTACGAAGCAAAGCTTCCAAAGTTTCTCCAGAGTTGACGACATGAAAGCCTGAAAAAGGGCCTCTGAAGCACTTAAGAGCTTCACAACTCCGAGGCGCATCTGCAGCCGGGCACCTGGTGGAGACTCCTCGGCCGGCTTCGGGGTGTTCCGAATGTGAGGCCGTGAGCTTAATTTCCTGCATTTCCGGCTCCACATCCGCCATGCCCTCCTGCACTTGCCTATCTCGGAAAGAGGGACTGTAGAGCGAAACGCACAGTACAGGCTGTTGCATCCTTAATGTCTGTGAGTTCGTGTGGCACCAACGCCAACAAATGCACCCCTGCCCCCTCCGTGTCTTTGAACCATGTTTGCAACGGACTGCTTGTTAAGAAGCATCACTTAGTGAGGGCTACCCGTACGCCTGCCTACGGCTTTTGGCAAGCTTGGACCATGCAAAAGGGCTGCCAGGAAGCAACCAGACTAGTGCCCATGCGAACATGAAGAAGTCTGCAGATGCCTGCAGTTCTTAGAAGCAAGCTCTCCATTCCCTCGCCCAACTTTCCCTGGTACATCGCGTCAGGCTTGACACGGCTCGAACCCCCTGCGAGCTGTTTGTGACCGCGGGGGCTTGCAGCCCGTGCCTCTGGAGAATTCGGCAACCAAACGGCATCCGGCATCGAAGCAGCATACTGTAGCTCGTTGAAACCATAGAGGCAGGATATAGGCAGCATAAGCTTCGGGTCGCGCATCCTTAGTGGGGTTGAGTTTTGAGGGTTGGAACAGGGAAGCCCGAAGACATCAAGCATGGGGTGTGCCTTGCTTTTCGATGCCTGATGCCGTGGCCGCGTTGCATCTCGCTAGCGTTGCGTTTGGCAACCGGGCTCTCCTCTGATCCCTTTGGTTTCAATGCAGCAAGTCCACGGGCTTGAGGCCCGACAGCCCCTTGAGCCCCAAAATGTAAACGTGCTGTCTAATTTTCCTTGTCTCTGAACGCTCTTGGAAGCCCTACGTCGGTATGTCTCGGTCGGGGGACTGCTTGCAACACAAGGGCCATAAAGCATCACCTCCTTGTATATGTTTTGCTACATCTCGGCGGCCGTTCGCCAGAGGCTCTGCCACGTATTGCCACAGCATGACAAAACCATAGAGAACATGTCGGCATAGCTTCGAACCACAGTCACGGCGTTGCTCTCCAGGGCCCTGGCAATTTTAACATGCTCAGCACCCCTTGTCGAGCCGCATTTGTGCAGACTGGGCGTGAGAGCAGCAGAGGCCCTGGAGCTAGACAAGTTGCGACGAAAAAGGTGTTTGGTCAGTTTGGTGTACTCCAATCGGCGTCCTTGAAGCAACCTGTTCCAGGTCTGATCCTGTGGTGGCCTCTGATGTTGTCAGACGTTGTTATCAACAAGACGGCACTGCTCCCGCTGCACCCCTGCAGTTCCTAAAGTATACTCATGACCGAGAGCGGTGACATGGTGCATCATGGTGCGCGGTATGGTCATGTTTCATTGCTCAATTGCTTCCCTTCCGGCTCGAACGGTTCGATGGTTGAGCTCTCCGCACGCCGTCGTTAACGCATGCCTACACTGCCTAAAGCCTGCATGGGTCATGCTGTGCGGGACTGGGAAGTATGGGCAATTAGGATAGGCCCAGTGGCGTACTGCATTATGCACAACAGATGATACATTGAACCGATCAAGAGAGGACGTGTAGTCACCTTGGCGATCCTTGGCAAGCCTCCTGCACCATCGACGTTCACACTTGCTGCAAGGCTGGATGAGGGCTCAGCAAAGTTCGGTGCGGTGTTTGCGAGTTCTGCCATACCTTGCTTGCCTTGCGGCCTGTGTAGCGGTAGGGCGAACCTCACCATCGCTTCACGTTGGCGTTCCCTTGAGGTGCATAGGCTCGCATTATCATCGGCACGCACCAGCACCGCGTAGGTCAACGGGAAACTACTGTTATGATACTGCTGAAGCCGCTTTCTGAGTCAGTCGGCGGGAAACTGATGCGACATCCGTGATATCCGTGTAGGCTGCGTGCATGCCCTGCGCAGGACGCGAGTGGCTTCAGCATTTCGTTTTGGCTTCAGTAGCATTACCATCAGCTGGGCCGTGTGAATCGATGATCAGGGTGATTGCTTATCATCTTGCCGGGTTTTACACCAACCAAATTTGGCTTGGGGCTTGGGTCTGTGTAGGATGGCGAACTTTGTTCCGGCGGGCTGGATTTCGCGTAGGTTCGCGTAGGTTCGCGTGGGTTCCGGCCATGCTACAAATTGACACCTCCACGCAGGCTGCAGCTCTTCTGCGGGGCAAGCAGGCGAGGGCATTCAAAGCATGGATATTTAAATCCCCTCCCTCTAAGATACAGTTCCCCATCTAATTACCCCCATTGCGGATTCCAGAGAACCCCGCAGACCGCAAGGCTCCCAAGGAGAATGTGCCTAGAAGTGTATAATAGCGGTTCGCAACACGGTCCACAAGGGGTCCCAGGGGCAGTCTCCTTCAATTTGATGCGGGGTCTTTAGGGGATCGCCAGATGCCAGGATCCACGAAAGGTTGGGCATGCCAATAAGGGGTTGTTGGACCGAGTGCACTAGGCTCACAGACAGGATTTCTCTTATTTGAGGTCGAAACTGAACGAGCTTCGCTAGCTCTTCACCAGAATCAGGAGACTTGCTGACTTGCTGCTGTGTTTTTCATCTCCGAAAGTCGTACAGCTTTTCTTTTTCGAACGCTAGGAGACCAAGAAGGCAAGCAGGCATTCTGTATCCTATATGACAGCTTGGGTTCACCTGTTCGTGGTGACAAGGAAGATGCCGACAATGAACGCCCTTTTTCTACCTTAGACCCATGTTTCGGGGAGAAGCCTCTAAGGTTAGAGTTTGGAAGGGGAGGGGCGGAGAAGGAGGGCGGCGACCACGAACGAGAACACAACAAAGTTCTTATCATTCGGCGTCTGCCCATGCACAGACTAAGCCAAGCTGCCCTAAACCCTAAACCCTAAACCCGAAACCCGAAACCCTAAACCCTAAACCCTAAACCCTAAACTCC